AGGGAAGTTCAGTCTGTTCCTTGTAAGTCCCAGGCCTCCTTCTCAGGCCCTGGCTGTGCTGCAGGGATGCTGTGGGGTGGACTCGCTCTGCTCGTGGCCACATGCTCTCAGGCTCTAGGTGGCAGGGCCCTTCTTCCCAGCGTTGCCCCCACCCTGTCAGGGTTACCAATCCCCCTCCGAGTCTGGCCTGCAGAGCCTCCTGGCTGAGGGGTCTCCCTGTGCTGGGCCCGCTGCCCAGGGTCCCCGCTCGCTCTCCCCAGCTGCTCACAACACCTGGCCCAGGACTGTTCCAGCCCCAGCCCCAGCCCCACCCACCCCCCCCCGCCTCAGCACGGCTGCTGCTCTGCTCCCAGCTTCATGGGCTGCTTCTCTGGCCCCTCTGGCTCTGGTTGCTGCAGCTCTCCTCCCAGGGCAAGTCTGCTCTCTCTGGGCTGTGCTTCTGACTTTGTCCTGGCAGCAGAGCTGCAGCCCCAGGGTCTGCTCTCTCCGGGCTGCTTTTCTGGTCCCTCTGGATCTGGCACAGCTCTGCTCCCCAGCTCAGCTTGGACCCCTGCTTTCTCCTTAGCTCGGCCCCACTCTGACTCAGGCAATTCCAGCTCACATGGATGACGGACCTCCCCAGCCTCCTGAATCCCTGATTAGCCTGCCCACCCTGTCATTCAGGCTGACCTAGAGCATTGGCCTCTTCCCATTGCTCCTAGGGACTGGCAGTCTCAGGGTCCTGATTCCCCATCGATTCTTCCCCCTTTTAGTACTGGGAGCTAGCAACTAAAACACACCGACTGAATGTTAGTAAGGGAGCAACAGTTCCCTTACACTAACAAGAAACCATTCTTGTTACCCTTCACATCCCTTGCTAGCTGCAACTCCAATTGTGCTTTGGCCTTCCTGATTACACCCCTGCATGCTTGAGCAATATTTTTATATTCTTCCAAAGTCATCTGTCCAAATTTCCACTTCTTGTAAACTTCCTTTTTGTGTTTAAGGTGACCATAGACTTCTGTTAAGCCAAGCTGGTTCCCTGCCATATTTGCTATTCTTTCTGCGCATCGGGATGGTTTGTTCCTGCACCCTCAATAAGGCTTCTTTAAAATACAGCCAGCTTTCCTGGACTCCTTCCCCACTCATATTAGCCTCCCAGGGGATCCTCCCCATCAGTTCCCTGAGGGAGGCAAAATTTGCTTTTCTGAAGTCCTGGGTCCATATTCTGCTGCTCTCCTTTCTTCCTTTTGTCAGGATCCTGAACTCTACCATCTCATGGTCACTGCTGCCCAGGTTGCCACCCACTTATACTTCCTCTACCAATTCTTCCCTGTTTGTGAGCAGCAGATCAAGAGGATCACAGCCCCTAGTTGGTTCCTCCAGCACTTGCACCTGGAAGTTGTCCCCAACGCTTTCCAAAAGCTTCCTGGATCGTCTGTGCACTGCTGTATTACTCTCCCAGCAGATGTCAGGGTGATTGAAGTCCCCCAGGAGAATCAGGCCATGTGATCTGGAAATTTCTGTTAGTTATCCAAGTAAAGCCTCGTCTACCTCCTCCTCCTGGTCATGTGGTCTATAGCAAGACGTCCACCACGACACCATCCTTGTTGCTCTCGCCTCTAAACTTAACCCAAAGACTCTCACCGGGCTTCTTTCCAGTTTGATACTGGAACTCTGAGCAATCATACTGCTCTCTTACATACAATGCAACTCCTCCACCTTTTCTCCCCGGCCTTTCCTTCCTGAACAGTTTATACCCATCCATGACAGTGCTCCAGACATATCGCTCCTCATCCAACATTTCTCTAAGCTGTTCTGTTCTCTATTTAAAGTTTCAGTAACTTATTTCTATAGCAGTTTAAGTATCTTATCCTTAAGTTAGTTTTGCATATAATGGGCATATAAACATTTTGTAATCCAAATAAAATTAATCTATTTTAAGTACAATTGTCCTGATTCTAAACAGGACACAATGTACAATAATTACAATTCATGTATTACTTAAAAAAACATGATTTAGGCAAGATCTATGCTAATATCACTGCAGTGGCCATGCAATGTAATTCAAGCCACTACCACGATGCAATTCATTTTCACCTAAAAGATAAGCCTCAACAGAATAGCTTCAGAGTATGAAGTTTAAGAAAGAAGATTTACTCTAGCTAATACTGTGGAGAAGACTGACATGTCTAGAGTTACTCTATTTCTATTAGTGTGAGAAAATATATTTCTTATTGGCATTGAATTTCAACAGGTGAAGCCCAACTTATTGTTTTGAGTTCAGTGGTACTTCAGTGGTTGGCTTTGATTTTAAACATTTGGAATTTTAATTCAAAGTGGATGAAAAAACTGTTTCATAGTATTTAACATTTGTCTGAACAAACAGCAATATCTAAGAGTTTTACTTCTACACAAAGTATGGATCATTTTTTATTTTACAACAAAAAGTGGCCCAATTACAATCTTATAGAGCAACCAGGAGGTCGCAGTATTGGCTGGGAAGGTTTAGGAGAGTAAAATGGACAGATTTTCAGCATGCTGTCTGCGACATGGAGCACCCCTCATTCTCATTGACAGTTTTACAAGAGATTATAACAGTACAATCTGGGGTTCAGATTTGTTTTAATGTAACCAACTCTGGTTCCTATTAAGTTTACTACAGACTCATTATGCCACATCTTTTAAACTAGGTTTGTGGTTTCTATTAATGTAAATAACTTCAAATTTACTGTATTCTTAGAAGATTAATATAGTGAATAAGTTGATAAAAGTAATATCAAAGAGTTAAAGTCAATAATCAACTGAAAACCGCACTGCCCCAATGTTTTTTTAAACCTGCTACAGTTACAACCATCAACTACCAAGATTACTACAACAGAAGAACGAACTTTTAGATTTAGCCTGCATTTGATAACACTGAGTATTCTCAGTTTCATTGTTCCCCTTCTTGCTTGTTGGTTTTAAAAACAGGAAAGCACGATATAAAGCCACAAAAACTTGGCAAGGGACAACAGAACAGGGGTAAATGACATTTTTACTTGACTGATTTCAATCTGATGTGTCCTTTTAACACTGCAAGCGCACACACATTTAACAATGGACAGTCAGTCCAGTTTCTGACATTTACATCAGATGCCTTGCTCATTTCCGATAAATACTCTTGCTGACAAGAAGATCACTATCTTGCATTAGTTTGTTGTAGCAACATTACAATAATTGAGAGAAAGTTACTTGAATTCCCGATAAGTAAAAACTGGGTTTTAGAATTTTAAGGTCAAGAATTCTCAAATCTTAAACTGGTTATCCACATTTCAAGCATATCATATTTATAAAGACTACCCTTAATGAATCTTAAGTCTAACTATAGAAATCTGGGAAAATTCTGATAGCTGAAGAGTTTAATGGTTGACTGATAATTTCCTAATACAGTATTGACAAATACAAGATAATGCCTCTACATGCATATATTAAAGGTAGATTTAGGGTTTAACACAACTTTGGGGCCAATACCTGTCTCAGATTAGGAAAAACAGTACAGTACCATTACTAGATCTAATTAAAGAAATATATAAATAGAGTGCCATCCTGTTACTTTACTCCAATGGGGCTGGGTGGATTTGGATGTATGCGCGTTTTGCTAAGAATTTTAGTTAACAGCAATTCCATAAAGTCCATTTTTAGTGGAGGAAAATGCTTGAAATAACGTACTGCTTGTGGAAGTTTACTAGGCACCAGGACTTCAGTTAAACTATGGCTATCAAGAGAATAGGAGAGACACCACAGATCTTACAAATAATGAATTTTGATAGTATAGCTTTTAATGGCAGGCATCTTCTGAAGTTGATAGTCCTGAAGATAATTTGGCTCAACTCCAATGTAACTGGTTTGCAGACTTCAAAGGGAAATTTAAAATGGCTTCAGTTGCAGTTTATTTAACAGAGCTTGAGGTAAAAATTCAAATACAAGCAAGGATAAATTTGGAAACAAAGCTACAGGTAGAAGAAAAACATAACATGCAATCTGTAGCCTATACTTGTTAATAAATTACTTTCCTGTCTAATAAAGTATTTCTTACCCCAAGGTTAGCCTTTGCGGAGCTCAGCAAGTCCAAAGGATTGGGATTCACTTTTCATGGGACCCCTCTTGCCCCACTGACTGACTTCTTATACTCTTTTCTTTTATACAATCACAGAATAATGTCCTTCAATTCAGGGGTCCCTATTCAGAGACTTTTAATGGGGTTCTTTTTGTCCTTGTAAACTCTGAACCCTGCATCTGGCCCCAACTGGGTAAACACTAACTGGCTCAGTTGACAGATGTCCATTGTTCTCATGTTAATTGGGTTAGCTCTCAGATTTCCTCTCTTCAGGTAACAGGTTTCACTCCCATCAGATTTGGGATATAATATCCTACATGTTAGATCACTCAAATCGTTTCCCATAGAAACATATTGCAATAACCATGACAATTAGCTAGTTCTGAGCTTTCGACTCCCTTTAGTGAAATATTGAGAAGGTTATCAGATACAGGGTGATATACTTGTCTGGGCCTTTCTGTGTCACATCCACCCCTTCACCTTACTCTAAAAGCGATCAGGAAAGATGCTTATCCTTTACACAGAAGCTGAACAAAGGTCACAGAATATTCCTGCTTCTATTAGCTGAAATAATAAAACCTAGATTCAAGTGATTCAATTTATGTACAAGAGCCAACCATTTTTAAAGGGTCCTTAAGCATCGACTGGATTGCTCTTCAAGTGTAACACCATCCTTACATACTGCGAAAACAAGTCTTTTTAAAGGAAGGGCTATGGGGCCAAGTCTCCAAATAGAAAATATTTACAATAAATTTTAGCAGGCTCTGAGACTCGCTGCCACAAGTTTTTTTTGCTGCGTAGATTCACCAGATGAGTCAAATGAAGACTTGTTATGTGTACAAATTAAATATTCAGACGCCCTACCAGATTTAGAAGATGACACCAAATTCAAGCAAAGACTACTGTATTTGGATAGCCTTACCTCAGACTGTAGGTGCTGGATCACAACTGTTAATGCTTCAAACTTCTGGTTACTGCTTGCCAAGAATTTCTTCAAATGCAGGATAATTTCACTTTGGTTCTCACATTTTGCTTTGTATTGTGCCAACTCACATTTTTTTGTTTCAGTTGAATGCACATCTGGAGAGGTTTGTGTATGTATGCATGAACTTTTAGGACTCCTCTGCTTGCCTTTCTCAACTGCAATTTTAAAAAGAAAGAAAAAAAAAGACATTCTAATTAAAGTATTCACTTTTGAAGTTTTACTAGCTACCAAAGCTGGAAGTCAAAACACACAGGAAATAGAAACAAATATTTAAAGAACATTACTTGAGCCGCTTTGACTGGGTCAAAAGGGTTACTTTTTAGTAGCATTAGGGTCTTGAGGATAATGGACTGTACAACAACTTCAGCATTCTCTTACCACAAAAAACATATAAACTCAGATAGCTCTTAATGATTATGCATTTACATTTGTTCATTGAACGCATTTTAGCTAACTCTTTACACTGCAATTTTGATTACCATTTTCACACATCCAGTACACTTCAAGCTTCCCCTATCCCATTATGCACAGCCTGAGGATTATCTACTTTAATATTCTAATATTGCAAATTCAGACACTTAACAGCACTAGTGTGATGGGTTCTCCCCTCCCCCCACCTCAGGGTTCTGCCTGGAACTGGGATACCACTGAGCCCGCCTGACCCACCAACCTGGACTCCCTTTACAGTGTACTGCTGTGACAGGCCCACAAGCCCCCTCCAGCACACATACAGGTAGGGACACACCCAGGTGCAGCTCTACACACAGCTGCTGAGAACAGCTCTGCATGGGAAGGCTCAGTTAAGGAACTGCCAAGTACTCAAGTGCACACCCACCTTTGGAAGGTAAACCCCAAATCACAGAGTCTTGTGCTGCACAGAGAACTGGAGGGGAGGGACAGCTCAGTGGTTTGAGCATTGGCATGCTAACCCCAAGGTTGTGAGTTCAATCCTTGAGGGGGCCATTTAGGGATTTGGGGCAAAAATTGGCAATTGGTCCTGCTTTGAGCAGGGGGTTGGACTAGATGACCTCCTGAGGTCCCTTCCAACCCTGATATTCTATGGTTCTAAGCTCATGAAATTCACCCCATTCCCTCCATGTGGAGAGGGATGTACACAACTTTCAGTAATGATTTTCAGACAAAACAAGTTTATTAATGACATGAGGATACATTTTAAGTGATAAGGGAGAGCAAACAGATCAAAGCAGATTACCTAGCAAATAAAACAAAAATGCAATCTAAGCTTAATATACTAAAGAAACTGTATATGAGTAGCAAATTCTCACCCCAACTGTTGTTTTAGGCAGTTTGTAGAAATTCTTGAGGACAAGCTGCACTTGCTTGCAGCTTAAAACCCCAGATATACCTTTCAGAGGCTAGAAATCCCTCTAGCCTGGGTTCAGGCCTTCTCCCACAGTTTAGTCCTGATTTCTCAGATGTTTCCAAGCATCTCCTTTGGGCGGGGAGTCAATGAAGAACCCAGGATGATGTCACTCCCCTGCCTTAAATAGCTTTTGCAATGATGGTAACCCTTTTTCCCTCCAACTTTAGTTCCCATGCCTTTCAGTGGAAAAACACTAGTATTCTGTGATGGAGTTCAGTACCAGGTGACTTGGTTGCATGATCCCATAGTGTCATAGCAGCTATGGGTCAGAGGCTGTTTGTAGCATCCTCAGGAAGGCTCCCTAGTAGGAGATTAGCATCTTCTAAACCCTATTGTTCTCCCTAATGGCCCTTCCCAGCCAGCCATCTTTAAACTGAGTGTCTTCTGCCTAGTCTTCATGCTCAAATAAATTGGTTAGTCTCTAAGGTGCCACAAGTACTCCTTTTCTTTTTACTCTGAATTCTGCCTAGTGGGCATTCCCCGGGTGTAAATACATTTGCAATAGATACATAGACAATATTCCTAACTTCAGATACCAAAATAGTACTTGCATTCAAATAGAATAATGATATTCAGTAAATCAACCTTTTCAATATCTCACATGACCTATTTTGCATATTTTACATCATAGGTATGCCATAATCATATCACAATAATATCTCTGAAGAATATGGGGCATAGCGTCAAAACTGGATCATGTCACATCAGAAGAGACCAACATTTCTATATTCAATATTTGATTCTTACAGGTGTACAAGGTTTCTCTATCGCCTTCAATTTGGAAAGTCAGCAGTGTGTAGCTGTTAAGCAGGGCCAGTGTCTCCCTTTAGTTCTCAGAGGCTGCGAACAAATCCTATAGCAACCACAATCTGATGCAATATATAGATATCCCAAGGTAGTTTAATGAAAACATCAAGACAAATGAGCCATTAGTTTAACTATCAAGATTAATTGAATTTAAAGTTGAGAATCAAAGGAAACTAAATTTGTAACGATTTGAGAGAGGTGAGATTTGATGGGAAAAAATAGAAGTAAAAAAGTCCAATATTTCTTATGCATGATAATCAGAAGTTTATAAAGTCCTTCAAAAGCTCTGAAAACCAGTGAAACAACATTGATACATTCAGTACATCAATATCCTACTATATCACACCACTGAAAGTAGGTTGAGAACCAACATGTATCAATACTGTTGGTAACAACCTTGGGTGGCTTAGAGCAGCTACCCAAACATTTGAAAGCAGAGTCCTCATTCAGGAACATTAAACCAATCATGCCCCTTTTCCCTTGCCAGGTGTTAAGATCTCCTCAAGGTAATGTATAATTTTCCCCCAAACACTCTATCCCATAAGAGTCCATGAGTGCTGCCAACCCCACCCTCAGGAAACAGTGGTATAGAAGTTCCTATTGATGCTTCTTTCTTGACTATTTCACTGCCCATCGAAGCATGTAACAACACTGACCACTGAAGTGTCATTGGCATTAGCACACATTTTAAATGAGTGGACTAGTTTGCAGCTTATAACTACAGTTTCAGTGTCTCAGAAAACTCAGAATTGCTCCTTCTGTTATTCTCTTAGTCACCTTTCAAAGGTTCCTCAAAACCATAATGAAGACAACAGAGATCTTCCCATGTCCCTCCCAGCCAGTCTTTCGCACCCTGCAGGGACATACCTCCGCGCCCCCCCCCCCCCCCACACACACACATTCAGAAAATGATAATGCACTGGTACAAATCAGTCTCACCTTAAAAATTAATAGCCTGAATCTAACCCCTATCAATGACTAAGTTGATAATATTTAATGGCTTTTTGGGGGAGCTACATGATCTGCCATAAAACAAACTCACTCCTGTCTTGCAAGCAGCACAGAGTGGGGTTGGGTGTTATAATTTCTTTCTCCCAAAACAATATCAGATACTGTTTCTTAGCGGAGTTTATTTCAGACCGGTACAAAGCAAAAGCAGACCATATGTGACACAGGATTCCAGCCATATCCATATTCCCAATATTTAGCCAGAATGAATTTATCACACAAATCCATTAAAGCATTGATCAAACCCTAGTGTTCAGGCTGCCAAATAATTTTCCTAGTCACTTGATCCAAATATCTGTCAAACCGAACGCTGGCGACTTGTGATAATGCTTTAACACACAAAATGTAGCCCATTTCAAAGCAAAGACATTCCCCCAAGCACTTTTGTTACATAAGGGTCACTGTACAACAACAGCCTCAATGTTCAAGGCTTCTCCGCAAGCATGAACCGTTATCAATGGTGTAAGAGGCCTCTACAGATAAAGATCACCCAATCCCTCCTATGCCTGGTTATGACCTCTGGGCAGGTCACCTCTACTTGTTCCTCTTGTGAAGAGGAACGTTCCTAAGACCCCAAAGCGGTACAGGAAGAGCTGAACCTCAGAGAAAGCCAAATCACAGTTGTATTGAAACAAGAGTATACAAGCAAGCGTGAAAACATGAACGAACAATATTTTAGGATAGATTCCTGTTAAGGCCCTCAAAATTGAGGGAGTGACTTCGGTTACCAAAACGAAGATTAAGATAGGCCAAAGAGAGTAAGGTGAATTTGGTGAGACTAACTTGTACAGCGAGTCACCATCCTGAACATAAAGTCTATTCCCCTTAATTATGACCCCCCAAATCCTTTCTACATTAAGCCTAATGTGAGTCTTTATAACAAGATGCCATCCAGTCCATTTTTAAATTCAGTGTCTACTGCCATTGCACTTAACTTCTGATTAAACACTGCAGACTGTTCCAGATCTCACAAGCAACATAACCAGATAGAGTCATCCTCATAATTATGTAGACCGCTGAGCTCATCTGTCAACATACAAGGAATTGGATATTTTATTAAACTGCACCCATCTGGTCAGTGCATATTGGCTAGGACTCCAAATACCTATATCTCTGGGAAAAGCGCATTGCACACACTTGGGACAGTCCTCAATTGAGAACTCTTCCTAGCCTCAGAGATCTACCCTGTGCCAATGACCAGGATATGGGCAGTTGAGCTCTGACCATGGGCACAAGTTGGTAGTCAGGAACCAGAGCCAAGGGTCAGAACCTGGTTACCTGGAGTGCACCAGGGTGCGGGAAGGGCTGGGGCACCAAGGCAAGGACAGGAGCTATTGTAGCCACACAGGCAAATACTTCAAGCAGCCACTGAACTGCAGCAGCTGGGCTTAAGAGCCTGTCTGCTGACTCTTCCAACCAAACAGGAGGTGTAGCCTAAGATGCAGCATACCACAGACCAGCTCCTTAGGTTGCCTGGAAACTGGCTCTGCTGAAAGCTCAGATTCCTGACACCCTGGGGCTCTACAATACAATTGTCTGGCTGAATGAATGCCGCTACCATTCGGCTGAAGCTGAGCAAAGCCCACTTCTTTGTGAAAGCCTTTTTTTTTTTTTAATTTAGGAACTGGTTCCCCTGACTCCACTGGGAGTCTGACCAATCTGATATGAAGTTGCGCAGGAGGAGAAAATGAACTATTCTATCACTAGGGTGTATCCCATATACTTGTTACATTTAAGAGCCTAGATGTAACAAGGAATGTAACCACTCTTGTAAAGTCTAACTTGAGCTACTTCAGAGTGGCTTGGTCCACATTGCTTTAACAAAAAACATTCAATCCTGACAACCATTTGAGCTTCTACCTTTGCGCACTTAGTTGCTGAATAGCAACTGAAATTCTGCCTCCATGAATAACTAAGCTTGGCCACATCCCAAAGCTTATCTGAAGTTTACCACTC